TTCACAGCTGAATTCTACCAGACATACAAAGAAGAGCTGGTTCCATTCCTTCTGAAACTGTATCAAACAATACAAAATGAGGGAATCCTCCCTAACTCATTTTATGAGACCAACAATCATCCTGATACCAAAACCAGGCAGAGACTCAACTAAAAAAGAAAACTTCAGGCCAATATCCATGATGAACATCAACGCAAAAATCTTCAATAAAATATTGGCAAACAGACTGTAACAGCACATCAAGAAGCTTATCCATCATGACCAAGTAGGCTTCATTATGGGGATGCAAGGCTGGTTCAACATATGCAAATCCATAAATATAATCCATCACATAAATGGAACCAAAGACAAAAACCACATGATTGTCTCAACAGATGCAGAGAAGGCCTTTGATAAAATTCAACAGCACTTAATGCTAAAAACTCTCAATAAACTGCATGTTGACAGACCATATCATAAAATGATAAAAGCTACAAACCTACAGCCAATATCATACTGAACAGGCAAAAGCTGGAAAAATTCCCTTTAAAATCAGGCACTAGACAAGGATGCCCTCTCTCACCACTCCTATTCAATATAGTATTGGAAGTTCTAGCCAGAGCAATCAGGCAAGAAAAAGAAATAAAGGGTACTCAATTAGGAAAGGAGAAAATCAAACTGTCTCTATTTGCAGGTGACATTATTTTATATCTAGAAGACCCCATCGTCTCAGCCCAAAATCTTCTCAAACTGATAAGCAACTTCAGCAAAATCTCAGGATACAAAATCAATGTGCAGAAATCACAAGCATGCCTATACAACAATAACAGACAAACAGAGCCAAATCAGAAATAAACTGCCATTCACAATTGCTACAAAGAGAATAAAATACTTAGGAATACAACTAACAAAGGAAGTAAAGGACCGCTTCAAGGAGAACTACAAGCTACTGCTCAAAGAAATAAGAGAGGACACAAACAGATGGAAAAACATTCTATGCTCATGGTTAGGAAGAATTAATATCGTGAAAATGGCCATATTGCCCAAAGTAATCTATAGATTCAGTGCTATCCCCATGAAGCTACCAATGTTCTTCTTCACAGAACTGGAAAAAAACACCTTAAACTTCATATGGAATCACAAGAGAGCCTGCATAGCCAAGTCAATTCTAAGCAAAAAGAACAAGGTGGCAGGCATCACACTACCAGACTTCAAACTATACTGCAAGGCTACAGTAATCAAAACAGCATGGTACTGGTACCAAAACAGAGACATAGACCAATGGAACAGAACAGAGACCCCAGAAGACACACCACACATCTACAACCATCTGATTTTTGACAAACTGGACAAAAACAAGCAATGGGGAAAGGACTCCATGTTTAATAAATGGTGTTGGGAAAACTGGCTAGCAAGGTGCAGAAAGCAGAAACTGGACCCCTACCTGTCACCTTACACTAAAATTAACTCCAGATGGATTAAAGATTTAAACATAAAACCTAACACCATAAAAACACTAGAAGAAAATGTAGGCAAAACCATCCAGGACATAGGCATAGGCAAGGACTTCATGATTAAAACACCACAAGCAACGGCAATAAAAGCCAATATAGACAAATGGGATCTAATTAAACTCCAGAGCTTCTATACAGCTAAAGAAACCATCATTAGAGCAAATTGGCAACCAACAGAATGGGAAAAAACTTTTGCAATCTACTCATCTGACAAAGGGCTAATAACCAGAATCTACAATGAACTAAAACAGATTTACAAGAAAAAACAAACAACCCCATACAAAAGTGAGCCAAGGATATGAACAGACACTTTTAAAAAGAGGACATATATGAGACCAATGAACATGATAAAATGCTCATTATCACTGGTCATTAGAGAAATGCAAATCAAAATCACACTGAGATATCATCTCAAGCCAGTTAGAATGGCGATCATTAAAAAATCTGGAGACAACAGATGCTGGAGAGGGTGTGGGAACACTCCTACACAGTTGGTGGGACTGTAACTTAGTTCAAACATTGTGAAAGACAGTGTGGCAATTTCTCAAGGAGCTAGAAATTGAAATTCCATTTTACCCAGCCTTCCCATTACTGGGTATATACCCAAAGAAGTATAAATCGTTCTACTATAAAGACACATGCACACATATGTTCATTGCAGCCCTGTGTACAATAGCAAAGACCTGGAACCAACCCAAATGCCCATCAACGATAGACTGGACAAAGAAAATGTGTTACATATATGCCATGGAATACTACACAGCCATAAATAATGATGAGTTCGTGTCCTTTGTAGGGACTTGGATGAATCTGGAAAACATCATTCTCAGCAAACTGACACAAGAACAGAAAGCCAAACACCGTATGTTTTCACTCACAGGTGGGTGTTGAACAACAAGAACATGTGGACTCGGAGAGGAGCATCATACACTGGGGGCAGTTGGGGGGAGGGTAGGGGAGAGACAGCAGTCGGTGGGGAGGGCGGGGAGGGATAACATGGGGAGAAATGCCAGATACAGTATGTACCTAAAGTAAAATAAATAAATTTTACAAACTTCAAGACAAATATTTTTTAAATAAATTCTAAAAATTTTGTCTTATGTGAGACCTTGTAAGTTGATGTTGACATTAACCTTGTCATTTAAATTACCTATTATTTGAATACCCTATATAATGAAATTCAACTTAAAGATTTAGGACCAATGTAAAAAAAAAAAAAAAAAAAAAGCTCAAGCAAAGAGGGGAATACATTTTAAGGATATGGCGATGTCTCATAGAACCCCAGGACCAGAAAGCTATTAGGACTTGGGAATAAATGGAATCAAGAACTCAAATGTAATCACACTCTTCATCTTTCCTGGTTCACAAAATTACTGAAACTCCCTTTTTTTTTTTTTTTTTGCATTTCCTAGTGGCATTTAAAGATTGCCTGATCTTTCTTTCTAAATTAGACTTCTGGAATTTCCAGAAAAGGACAGTTTACCAAATCAAGTAAATGCAGCCAGGGCTGGGAGAATGGAGGAAAGTCCCATTCTAATATCATAGATATTTTCATTGTTATCAGGCAATTGGTGTGGTAGAGATGGGGAAAATTAAAAAAAAAAAAAGTGTAGTTTGCAAAATAGGTGAATCTGGCAGGTGCTATCTTTGTTGTTCCTGGCTACATGTAGTTGGAAGTTCGCACCTCTTAGACCAGCATACAGAACCTTCAAAATCTCCCTTTGATCTGTTTTTTCTACTTTCTCTGTTAACCCCGTATCATTCCCTATTCCCTGAATCTAGAAGCAGCAAGCTACCTTCTCTTCCTTGAAAGCACTGTGCTCTTCATGCCTATCGGCCTTTGCACAGGTTTTTTCTTAGTTTGGAATTCTTTTTCCTCCCTAGTCTGCCTGGTAATTTCTACTCATCTTTTTAGGTCTGGCTCAGTGTTATTTCTGGAAACACTTGACTTTCAAAGAAGAGTTTATTGCTCTTTTTGTGTTTCACTTTGCTTGCACTGTTCTAGGACCCCTATCACACTGGACTGTAGTTGTCTAATCTGTTTCTTTTTTCTACCAACTTGGACGTTTTAAAAGTAAAACTATGACTTAATCTTATTTGTCTCAATGGTGGCTTGTCATTGGCTTGTATATAGCAGCATTCAATAAGATTCCCATCAGTTTTTATACTATTTTTCTGTTTTTCTCCCAGACATAAGTAATCTCAGCACCCCCAGGTCTGTTAACTATCAATAAGTAGAAAAAAAGCTCTATTCATTTTTAACCTTGTTCTTTACTCTCTTTATTTTAAACCCAAATTTGACTATGTAAGTGTAATTTCATTTGTTACCGCTTTCTTTCATTAAAACAAAAATACTCTTCATGAGCTTGCAAAACACTCTAACCCACACTATTAGAACAGCAGAAGTGAATACTAACAAAAGCCAAGATGAAAAATTTCCCAAATGTTAAATTTTGAACTTAGTGTGGGAGCGGGAAAAATGGAGACATAATTCTGGTTCTCCCTTAGGCAGTTTTTAATCGCTATTTCTCAATCTCAGTCAAAAAAGGCATCTGTCTGCCTTCCCTTTCACCTAGTTTCCACTGTCTTCTCTCTCGCCCCTGTGCAAAACCAAAGATGGGTTGAGAGCCCAGGCATAATGGAAGAGGAATGTTTTTCCTCCCTTTCTTCTTCAAATCCTGTTTTGGGCTCATCCTTCCCCACCCACTCATTTTCATCTGACGTACACAGTCACGATTGCCTCTTGTCATTTTTGATTTTATAATATTTCATATTTTACATTTTTTTTTTTGGTAAATTCATAGAGAAGGTATCCTGGTAAAACGCTTCGATTAAAACAAATTTACGTAGTTGATTAGTATAAATTAAAAACAGTGGCTTAAATTCTCCAGGTTTCAATGCTAGCCAGTCTTGTAATTTTCGCTACTTCTGGGCAAAATGTATCTCAATTGCTATTCAGTAGATTTGAAGGATAAAATCTAAGTTTGCCTCTTTCATCTCTCATTTAAATTTGGAAAAAAAATCAATAAAAATTGATATATGCTTATTAAGCATTTCAAGGAGGGTGTGAATAAGGAGTGGAGGCTTTGAGCAGTGAGTGACTCCAGCAGTTTTCTGAAAGTTAAAACCAATAACCAGTGCCAATCAGTAGCTCTCTTCAGCTTTCACACAATAGTAGAGACAGAATAGGAGAGGTTAAAAAAGGGTTACATTAAAAAGAAAAAGTATGGATCTTAAAATGAAAACAACCCTTGGAAATGCACTGTAGATGACACCGGAAAAGATCGCTTCCAGGCACCGTGTAGAACTTTGCAGACTCGGGTCCGCAAGCCAGGCCCGCACAGCTGACCGCGGGGAGGCTCCACCCCAGAAACTATTTCCTTGGCTCCACCTCCGCCGCCACAAGCCCGTTGTCCGCATGCGCACAAGGAGCAGAAGCCGGCCACCTCGTCACGTCGACCTCCCCGCCCCGGAATTTCCAGTTCCGGTTGGTCCCTTTCACGGGAACGCCCCTCTGGCCCGACCAATGTGGAAGCCGTCTCGGGTACTCCGCCCTCCTCACCGGCAGCAAGCGGCTGCATCTCTTGAGAGAAACTCGGCGGGGATGGCGGCTGTGGCTTCGGCTGCCGGCTGGCTGTTCAGGCTCAGGGCGGCAGGGGCTCAGGGGCACTGGCGTCGGCTCTGTGGCGCGGGCCTGGCGCGGGGCTTTCTGCATCCCGCCGCGACTGGCGAGGATGCGGCCCAGAGGCGGCAGGTGGCTCATTTCACTTTCCAGCCGGACCCGGAGCCCCGGGAGTACGGTGAGCCGGGGACTGCCCACCAGGTCTCGCTGCAGCCCGGACTCGAGGCTCGCAGACGCTCGCGAGGGGCAGGGGCCGGCAGGCAGCAATCCTTGCATCCCAGCTTAATCCTGCCTTACCCTCTAGAACCTCCCTGCCCCAGGGTCTAACTGTGATTCACTTCTTGCTCTAATTTTTGTCACTCTTTCGCCCTCGGGACGCAGCCCCCGCTCCTCCCGCACCTTTGAGATGGGTGAGAGGGCATGCTGCTGCCTGGAAGGGCCTGAGGGTGGAGGGGTGGTGCCCAGGGAACGCCTCCCTTCCTTTCTACTCCATCCTTGCTTTCTCAACTCAGGCATTAGGTGTTCCAGCCTGTCCCGGACTGGGCCACTAGCTTTGGTGAGAGAGATATATATATCTATATAGAGATATATCTATCTATCTATATATCTCTATATAGAGATATATCTGTCTATCTATATATCTATCTCGTGAGGATTCAATGTTCATTTTTATCCACAGACACAAGTTACTTTGTCCCTTGGTTTCTTCTTATCTACAGAAAAAAACAAAACAAAAGCATGTATGTCTATATATATATTTTTTTTCTGCTGAGACTAAGTAACTGAATTGATTTTCCCAAGGTCACAGAACAGGTTCTTCCTAGAGATGAGAAAGAATCCAGATTTTCCACTTGAGCTTAATACTGAGCTTGTGCCTGCACTATGCTGCCACTTAGCCAAGGAGGTGAAGGTGATGGGAGAAGGAAGCCATAGGAAGGGAGTGTCGCACTCGTAGTGTGACTATTACATGATTTTTACCATTTCTGAAAGTTTCATGTAATGTTCTAAAGATCCAGTGTTTCTCCTCAGAATATCAGGAAATTGTAGGGAAACATGTATTGCTTCCTTGTCTAATAACTTCGCCTGTACATATTTGAGCTGACATTTTTGGAAGTATGTCTTTCCTTGTGGATAAGAATGAAGATTTATTGAGTGCTTACCAGGGCCAGGCACTGTGTGTATGTTTCATCATCTCATTTAAGGCTTAGGACAACCTTAAAAGTTTAGTAATGTTTTTATTCCTGTTTTGCAGTTAGGTTAATGGAAGTTTTGAGACAGTTTGTCCAAGATTACACGGATAAGTTAGTGGTAGCTCCAGAGCTCCAGCTTTGGAATCTAATTGGTCAGATTCCAGAGTTTCCAGTCTAAACAATGTACTAAATAAAATGTGTGTAGATTTACTAGGAGGGTGTCTCAACAGTAGGTACCATAAAGGTTAATAGTAGGGTTTTTTTTTCCACCACCAAAATGAGCCCTCGATTCTGTCTTCAAAGCAAAGAAATTTTGGCCTAATACTTGAGAAATAGAGTACAGGTTTTCTTAATCCACCTTTCCATAGTTGTAAATTTACTAAAATCTAAGTAAAATGATATCGTGTTTATAAGCTTATTCCTATCATAAAAATAATACAAGCGTATTACAGATAATTTGGATAATGGAGAAAAAGTAAAAAAAAAAAAAAAATCACCACCCACTACTAGTAAATATTGCTAACATTTTGTTGTGTATCCTTTTTTTTTTTTTCTTCATTTTATTTTGGTGTGTATCCTTACAGGTATTTCCTTTCAGTTTAGTGTAGTATTTTCCATACTTTTAGTTTTAATACAAATACAACTTACTTAATCAGAAGCATTTTCCTAGAATGTAGTTTTTATAATGTTCTTGAGAATTTAGAAGAAATGTTTCATGGAGTAAAGATGCTACAATTCTTTTACAAGTTAAAATCTTGACTCTGGAATCTGATTGTTCTAAGTTGGACCTTGTTTTGGCTATCTGTAACTTTGGAGTTATCCTCTGTATGCCTCAGGTTCTTCATATGTAAGGGGTTAAAAATAATAATTACTTCAGAAGGGTGTTATGAGGACTACATTAAACAATATTAGTGATATACGTAACACAGTGTTTGACAACTGAGAATCAAGCATTCACTCAAGTGGAACCTTTAAATAATTGCCATTATGTTTTTGTTGTTACAGTTTTGCAATTTTATAAATAATGCAGATATAAGCATTTCATGTATATGGCTTTTATGTATCTGAGATTATTTCTTTAGGATAGAGTCCTGAATGTTTTGATGCATAGTTCAAATTTATACTTGAGTTTATACCGCATTATATGTATAAGAGTGTGAGAATTGGATGTTAATGCTAAAATCACGTGTGTGCATGTACATACTTGGGTATTTTGTGCTAACTGTACTTTGTTTTACTTTTTATTTGTTTCATTTCCATTGAGGAATATTTTCTTATGTTTTTGTTAACTTGATTTATTTTTACTTAAGAACTAAGTATTAGATGCATTTACATATTTTTAAAAGTATACTCAGTATTTTTCCCATCAATACCAATAACTACCATTATTGCATAGCTGCTCTTTTCCAGGTGTTGTGTTAGACATCAGTTTATAATCCTCACAGTAACCTTGTGAGCTAGATATTATTATGTTCATTTTAAAGATGAGAAAATTGAGGCTCAGAAATGTTAGTACTCGCCCAAGTCTGGTAAGTAGCAAAGCCAGAGTTTGAATCGTGATGTGTTTGACTCCAAAGCCTCCCATACTACTTATATACTAATATTTTGTCTATTAAGAATATTGAAGAAGATACTTTCTGCTTTTCACATGTGCTGCAAATACTTTTGACTCTTTTATGTTGGTTGTTTTGACATATAAAAGGTACTCCTTAAATAGGAGGTAGTCAGATTAGATTCTGAGTAGGTGACACTGGTGCTGCTTTATGCTAGTATGTTTGCTACCTTTATTACACTGTGGTGTTCTCCGAGAACAGTTAATCCTGGCCTTTCCATGCCTCTGATTCTTGGGCATTATATGGATTTGAGCTTGTTTATTCAGTCATTCTATGCATTTTTATTTTCTTCTGGATGCCAGACTCTGCTAGCTGCTAAGGATATGATCGTGGACCTGTTGGAGGGTAATCTGAATCTTCTTTTTGGACGCTTTGTACCTTTGTCTGCCAGGAAACTCAAAGCTTTTATAGTATTTTCATCCAGGGTTGGGCTACCCACAAGAAGGCCATCTGTATACTGGAATATACTACCATTCCTTAGTTGCAGACCCCTCAGATCCCACTCTAAGGCTCAAGCAAAGAGAAGGGGGCTATCCTGAAAACCCTGTGGGAGTACTGTCCAAGTGTATTGTTGTTTTTCTTTGGTATTAGTATTTTCCCATTCAAAGGCAAAAAGGCATTGGGATTCTGGGGCCAGAGAAATGGAAAAGAAAGCATCTTTTAGGTCTAGGACTGAGAACATTTAGCATCCCCTGGCACCTGAACCAGGAGAGTATATGGATCTGCCACAAATGAGTGGATAGAGATAACAGCCTCATTAATTATTCTGAAATCTTGTAGTAGCCAGTATTCCTTAGAAGGCTTTAGAACAGCAAAGGTAGGGGTATTGTAGGGAGAACTTCAGGATCTTAATAGCCCATGTGTGAGTACTACCTCAGCTGTGGATGCTAGGCCTTTCCTTGCTTCCAGCTTAATTGGGTATTGTTTTTGATTGGGAAAATAAATAGCTGGGGATCTTTAAGCTGTATTTTGACTGGCATTGCTGTTTTAGCTTGTCCTGGTTTTCCAGTATACCATGACAGTGGGTTAACCTGTTTATTAATGTGTCTGGGACATTGTCTGTAGTTTTGACTATTAGCAATTTCACCAGATGATGCTTAAATTGTCATATAGTGCCCTTATTTTAACCACATATTAGTACGTTTATCTCTTTTCAACAGGGCGACTAGACAGCTTGGTACTAATAGAAATTCCTGTTGGAAGATTTGTTTCTCAAATTGACAAATGAAAGGAGGAGTAAAGAATCTTATTTATGGCTTTCCTTCTATTCCCATAATGCTTGTGGCTTGGGAGGAAAGTTTTCCAACATAAGCAGCAAGGAAAGAAACTGAATTTGTGTAGAAAAGAAACTGGTGCCCATGACATCCAGTTACCCAGGGCTCCTCAGTAGTAATTATGATTTTCCTGAACAGTGGTGTTGAGGAAGATCCCGGGTCCCTTCAGTCTTCATCTGATTTCTCTTTTTGGACTCCTAGAATTTTACCTAACTGAACCCCTAGGTGGGAGCAGGACCAGTCAGTCTTCCAGTGCCAGGGGTCATAACTGGTGCCCTCACATTTTTGGTAGGGGACTGGCGGGGGCTTACTACGTTTCTTTATCCAATTCTCATTTTTCTTGCATTTGAAGCAAGAGCCTTTGCTGTCTAGATTATCAGAGGCAAGCAAAACCAACCAAATTTCAAGTGGCTGGTATGCTCCATCAATTCCTGCAGGCCTGAAATAGGTAGCCTAGGAATTCCAGATAAATAGAACACATGATGACTTGCTGGAAATTCACAGGAAGCAAAAATAACTATTTACAGAAACAAATAAAAGTCTTCCACTAGAAACTGAAAAACAAACAAAACCCTATGATTTTATATATATGCATATACAAGTAAAACCTGAAAGAAAACAAATGGCAAACAAATGAAAATTAGATGCAAAAACAAACAGGAAACCATCCCTAAATTTTTCCTACTTAGTCCACTCTGGAGGCTACAGTGTTATCCAGAGCCCCCCCAAAATCCACATAATGAATACTTTTTTCCTGATACATAACTCAGTATCCCTAATTCTACCAGTATCAGCATACATACTGTCCAATCAAGAAATTCACTCTAGGCACATGATTGGTAAGCATTCCAGTACCAGTTTGTTTAGTAAAGTTATACTTAAGTCATGTAGACTTGAAAATTGTTTAGACTTACTTAATTTATGAGCGCTCCTTTAATTATAAAACAATTTGGTAGACATGACATATAACAAGTGTATATACAAATAAACACATCTAGACATGGATATACACACGCAAATGAAGATCCAGTAGCTTTTACCCTGGAATTCTAGCCATGAAATAGCAATACAAGCCCACTGGTTTTACTTTGTTTGTCCCAA